GATCGGCGGTGATCAGCTGAGCGTATGCCGAAAACGTCCGTCGATGCAAGGCGGATTGTCAATTTTAGGGGCAAAAACATCGAATTTTTAAATGTTAATAACTAATTAACGAAGCCCTAAACGCAATTTTTTCTCTCTTGATTTTCGACTTATTTTCGACCAAAGAACACGTCCTTAAAATATTGCCCACTAGTAGGTTTACACCCTGTATAACGTTTCGCGATAAACCTCCCCTCATAAACCATCCTCATCAATTCAAATGGACGGTATCATCGCTTGCTGGCTAATTACAAAAACATAAAACGACTGACTTTGGATGTTCGACGTTTTCTCTCGAATCTCCTTAAACATTCTTTCCAGTGTCATGTTATGTTGCCATACCTAACGTAATGTAGCATAATTTATTCAAGTATAATTACCTAACTGATTTAAACTATTATTAATTTGACTCTCTATATATCGTATGAATATCTAATATTCATTACATTTGCTGCGCTTTTTATCAACCCTCCTTCTGCATACTGAGTCATTTTTTAAGAAAACTGTTCTTCATGATTCCCATATTCATCGAATTCGTTTTTGTTTAAAAAATTTAGGTTCATATGTAATGTAGGAAGTTCGGTTTAAATGAATTTGTTAATCCAAAGATGAACAAAGAGATTCCAAATGGTAAAGTACAACAACAGATTAAACGTAACATCGTGTATGACTCGACTATTACGGGAGTGGACTCCGAAGGGACGCGTTAAGGCAGAACGTCGATGTTACAAACAATATATTGACGAAAAATATGAGTTTCCAAAGAAGTATCTGACGACTCAAAAATCTTCTCGTATAAAGCTGAAAAGTGTATCATGGAAAACCCATATTTTTCACTATTTTTATCAGGTTAAACAGAACAAAGAACGTCAAAATTTTATCGAAAGCTGTTAGAAAATTCCTATTTATAAATTATGAATTTTCTCGAGCAATACAAATATTATCACGAAATATTATACAATAGGTACAATTAATTTTGACAAAAATTCTTCACGGACGAACATGAAGTATGGTGAATCCTTTCATCGATAATCGATCTCTACGTCGATCCTTACAATAGTAATAAAAGAGATACAGATCCCTACAATAATAATATAAGAGATATTCTAGAAACCTTCATGAATATTAAAAAAAATTTTGGAACTTCTTAAAACAAGAGTGTTCGTTAATTGGATGATTGGATGATTGGATACTGATAGCGCCTAGAGGGAAGGTTTGAAGCTTGAAGTGGTGTTGTTAAAGTGTACTGAATTCATTTTGGGATTCTAAATGTACAATTTTATTCAATGAATACATTCCCACGTATTCTCGTTCAGTACAATTAATTTGGATTTGATCAGCTGATGGTGAAATGGTTCACCACTCGGTGACTTTGGATACACCTTTTAACTTGAAACAATCGCGAACTGCTATTTGAATTTCGAATATTGGGTTTGCAAAAATCGGTTTATTTTATTCCTTGAACGATTGTGAGACGATTTATTATACGTTGCGAGCTGTGGTACATAGTCTGTTGTCGCAGACTTGCACGATTGGTCGTATGGTTTCTCTAATAGGTAACCGTTCCATACCCGCGCATTTCCGAACGAAGAGGAACTTAAGACATATACAAACTTAGACGAGTTAGTATGCAAACGTACAAATAAAATTAAAGGAAGAAGTTTAATATTAATACCACCTAATAAGTATTCTTGAGAGATTAAAAGATAAAAGCCAATTGCATTTAAGGCAGAACGTTTTAAGTTATGTATTGACAAAGCTTGATAGAGGTGTCACGGAAGGTAGAATAAAAATATTTAATGATTTCTAATCAGAAATTACTAATTACAATTGTATGTTGCAGGTGTGACAGGACTAAAAAATCTGACAATCTACGTGCCAGCCATGGTGCGATCCGGTGACACAGTAACACTTTCGTGCCACTACGATCTAGAGGGGTTATCATTGTACACGATACAATGGTTTCTCGAAGCAACAGAGTTCTATCGATACTTACCTGAGCGAGAACCACCGTATAGCACGTTCAACGTCGATGGAATACACGTAAATGTACGTATTTTATCAAGGAACATATTGAACAACTCCCTGGAGAAAGTTCTATGTTCGATCCCTTAAAATATCAATTGAAATCTATCTATACTTGACCTATTTAATATCATAATTAATTTTTTGCACTCCATATTTCGAAAATTGGACCTTCTGTTTAATGCAGAAATAGTGTAAGTATCGTAAATGTCCCAATGTCAGTTCACGTCACAATTCCTGTTCACTGCCTTATTTTTCTGTAGTTTTAACATAACATGTAAAAGGATAGAAAAAAACTATAGCGAATAGAAATTGTAATTTGAGTATAAATTTGAATATTTACTGTATATCTTCATTTATCTCTCGGTGAACAGAAAAATAAATAGAAATCGTTCACATGAATAGCGTTGGAGCTATGTGCAGTAATGGTGTAAGTCATGTTTCAAAAGACACTTTTTATACCATACTGTAGAAGGACTGAAAAACACCCTGAATGAGAATGTGTCATTTTTACAAAAATAGTACTGTCAATATAAAAAAAATATAGTTCATCCATTTACGAACATTAAACAACGATGTTTAATTAATAAGGTAAAGGAGGTAGTACTGGGACAAAACGAATTTTAGAACCAATACTTGGACATAATAGATATGTATTTAATAATTTACTGTCCAAGTTTATAATCCCTTTTGAAACTTAATACGTAGAAGTGGGACAAGACGACAGTGGCTGTCCAGGTTTAGCCCCTCACTAATTAATCGCGCTGCAATACCTGGATAAATTCGGATCTGGTATAAAAGGCATTCAAACGTATGATATATTTTTCACAATAAATGATTTAGTGTATTTTCATAACTTTTCAACCCTTTCTCTTAATCCAACTGTTTCTCAATTCGCTTAGAGGCGTCATAATAATATTGTCCCAGTTCTGATTCCATACTTGTCCTACTACACCACTCGTTGAGATTAAATGTGTCCTACTACTGCGGTTGACAGCAATTTTTTTTTAATGCGATTATTTTAATACATATATTACAAAAGAAGGTTTTTTTTCTTAAATATGACTATGAGATCCCAGTTATCTGCTAAGATGATAAGTTTTCATGTACTATGCTTTAATTTTGTAGTAAAAAACATAATAAAAAATTTATGTTCAAAAGTGTCCAGGTACTACCTCCTTTACCTTATATGTATATCGTGTAATTAAAGGGAACGAAAATACATGCATGATTTTCTCCCATACATTCCATCAGTTTTCACCACTCCTTCTTCACATCCTTAAATCTTGAAACGTTGAATGTACATACCAGATTTTGATGATAGTGGAGCTTTGAATTTTTTTAAAGCGATCGATGAATAAGAGCTGAAAAATGTTATTGTTTTCTGTACAGTTATTGCATCATGCTCATTATTATTATTTTCGTTTAACGAATGATTTGGTATTTAATAAAACAGGAATCATTTAATACCTATACCTGCGGTCCCGTGAGTCTAGGAATGTTTCGCGCAGCTTGGAGGGTGGTGGGGGTCGCAGCGAACTCCCTCCACCACGGTTCAGTATACACGGTAAAGCATTGAGATGCGCAGAACGATAAAAAATTGAACTGTGCCCGCTCTTAGACTCTCTGGACCGCAAGTATAGTTCAGCAAACATCCTCTATCCGTTACATTTAACTATTTTATAAAAAGCGAGCGTTTGTTTGTATGTTAACAAAAATCTCAAAAACAGTTGAAGTATTTGTAACGAAATTTGGACTGTAGCTATTTTATACAATAGTTATTTCTACAAAAAGAAATGTTACTATGAATAATGAAAATCTTCAACCATAATATGGTCGAAGATGAAAATATATCTTTATTTCTTGTGGACGTATGAGCACTGGGCACATTCGTGGAGCCTAGGAAAGAAGCTACAGCCCCGTAATAAGTGTTCCAGTTTTTTGTTTGAAATTTTTATAAAAAAATTCAATGTGAAAATTTAAA